AACTTTAACCTTGCCCATAACTTTGGATTGGGTGGAGCTATCACTATCACATTTTACATGTGTATATCTTGTGAAAAGACCTTATACAAGAACCAACAAATTTGATTTCTTGACATTGACCTTGGAGTTTGAAATATTTTTTTGCAAAATTTTACCCATCACAATTTATGTTGTCTTTGAGGACCAGTTCACTTAATGATTTGTAGGAATTTCGAAGGAATTTCTATGGCGCTAATTGTGCTTCTTTATTAACCGACCTGCTTTTATACTTTTTAGATTTCGCTTAAAAACTTCTATATGATAGAAAGAAAACACTTTCTGTGGCCTTCAACTCGACATTCAGATAAATGGACAATGTTTATCAATTAACAATAGATACTCCCATTCATATGTCGACTCGATTTATCTCATTGAACTTTAGATAAAAGACACCACAGAGTATACATCTGTTTCATACTATTGAAAATGTTCGTGGAAAAGCTGAATCCCCCCCCCCCCCCCCACTTTTGGCAAAAGGAAAGTGATATAAGGATAATGTTGGTATTTTTATTAAGAAAATTTGATACTGAAAGATGTTGGTGTCGGAAAAAAATTGGACAAGACATCAGGAATTTCTTAGAGTCTGTGTTTGTAACTTATTTAAGGTTTATATTATTCGTCAAATTGTTTTGGCTTGATCACTGCTATTTTCTTGTCTTATTTTTTTTTACATACGTAGTCGAAATAATGACATTGTCAACAAATACAAACTGTCAGTAGGTTGAGTGCTAAAAAGGTTCTGCATGCTTATTGAGAGGCCATTATTTTCACACTGAATTATCAAAGGATTTTCCTTTTTTTCCGAAAACAATACAGATAATAGGCGATACGTAAGGTTGACAGGGGATGTTTTACTTATCCATGGCACCTAATCCTATCAATAATTGTCTTTGAAATCCTTTTGAAATCCTTGTATGCATTTCTCCCTATCTGTATTGTTTAATTTGGCTTTTGAACTTGATAAATTTTATCTCGAACTTGAGAAACTAATTAGGATTTTCGAGTTTTGGCAAATTTCCTTTTTTCTCATTTCTAAGAAATGTAATTAGATTTCCTACATTAACTAACTTTTATCTTACTTTATCCATCTTGAACCGATATTCACAGAACTAAAGAACTGAAAATATGAAAGAAAAAAAAACATAAATTTCATTGAATACTCCTGAAAAGATTAAAGATTGAAGATTTTTCTATGCCCAAGACACATTGTTTGGACAATCCCAACATAAACTTTTTCTCGTAATTTCATACCTATTTATAAGAAAATTGTCCTAATATCTTTGTTTTTCAATTGATCAGATTTGATACAATCGCGGCTGTATGTATTTTCTACACCTATTTATCTTTTGTTGTCCTTCCATAAGAACTCCTGAGGGGAGTATATTTTTTCATGGGCGAAGAAATCTTCATCTCTCCCACACATTCATGCGATGAATTGTTGATGATACCGAATCACGCACAAAATATGAAAATAATCAAGTATGTTAATAAAGAAGTAAACATTTGATGACATAAATATGAAACAGATACAAGTTTTAAGTTAACCACTCTCTTAAATCATTTTTACTTGACAAGTCTGTGTGATTTACATAATTAACATGCCCATCTTGAAATTGGTGTTAATTAAATCAAAACGACGATTCAAAATAGCTCGCACATGATTTCATTAAAAAAATCATACTGCTTTGGTCGTTCTGCAAAAATTAGAAAAACAAAACCTACTGTTTTTGTTTTTAAAATAATGAAACAATGGTAAAGAACTCAATTTAACATTTGAAGACATTATGTTCACGACTTTTGTTTTTAAAGATACGGATCTTTGTTTTCTGACTTTTATTATAAGGATAAACTTTTGACCACATACACCAGAAACCTATATCTATTATTTGTATCATTTAGTGCTTCATTGTATGAAAAAAATACTGTTTTGAGGTCAATATAATAATTACGCTAGCGCTACCTGAAGAGTACAGTATTCCCCGAGTCAGCCCAGAGGCGAGCACAATACCGAGCACTGAGACAGGCAAAAATTGGTATTTATGCACTTGCTATTCCCACTTTCTGAAAATCAGGTAGAAAAATGTGAAATTTCACTTGGGAGTAGGTGGAATTATGTGTAAACAAATAATTGACTATGTTCTTAAATCTAGGTATTAAATTGCTATTTCTTGTAAGATCTTTTTATTATTTCAAAAATCCGAAATAAATCATATTTTCTCATAGATGTATTCATTATTTTCTGTCTTAAATGTACAAAATAAAGTTAAATCTTTACATCTATTGTTATTTGTAAGTGGGAATAGGTGGAATTGAGATTTTTAAAAAGTGAGAATAGCTAGAAGACACCCACATTAACAAGTCAAATGAAATGTGATGGATGCCTCTGATCGGTTCCCGAAAAATTATGACTAGGCCAGAGATTTTGCTTCATTTTATAACTTCCATCAGCCGTATAACAGTAAACTGTAGACGAAAACACAATTCAGCATTGTGCAGACATCTGAAAATATCAAACCAACAAAAAATGTAGTAACAAAAGACAAACAACAGAAGAATCGAAATAAATGTGAAAACAGTTAAATTTTATGCGTTAAAGTGATAATAAACATACAGTACAGGCGACGAGTTATCCCCATCGCACGGTGGAAAAAACACCGTGTGAAATGCTCTTTGTTACACCTTGTACACGGTTAGCAAGGTGTGTGTTGATTTGAAATATACAGGTAGGCAGGTAGGTACATCGTGCCTCACTGTGTCTAGAAAAATCTCAGCTAATGCCCTCCGTGTCGAACCTTGTCCAGTAAAGTTCCCTCCGTATCGCACCGCGTGTCCAGAAAATCCTCCTCTCCTGCACAATGTAAACAGTATAACAGACAAAATCGTTTGTTTCTGATAAAATTTTAAAAATTAATTTTGATGACAATTTATAACTTTGGTTTATGAATATAATAATCTTTTTTATTCTACCATATATTGGGCTTTGAAAAGCACACATGATATTGCGATTAGATATCGGTAAAAAAAATGAATGGATTTCATTAGAATTAACTGTGTTTAGAAGTTTATATTTAGTAAAATTATTCATTCACGTTACAAAATCAAAATTATGAATTTAATTTTAAATGTATAATTTAATATCATGTACTTATGAAACAAACGAAAGACGAACTGCATTCGTGTCACATACACTGCATTTAGTATTATCCGAGCTGTCTATTTGTTCATGGTTTTAGCATGTACACTACAAGTGTACGATCCAAGCACAATTATTCATCTTCCTTATTAAAATGCATTTATTTTGTTCATCTTGAATTATTCTGAATGTAGATCCGAAAATCGTCAGCAGAAACACGAAATCAATGCAATAATTCCCAAGCGTATTTCTCGCAAACATTATTTTTATATAGTATTTAATACTTTATGTTTTTAAAATCCTTTCAGTGTAAGTAATTTAAAACAAAATATTTTAATATTAAGTTTTTCTTTTCTTGTAAAGTGTGTAAAAAGCAATACCAGAGAGAGAGAGAGAGAGAGAGAGAGAGAGAGAGAGAGAGAGAGAGAGAGAGAGAGAGAGAGAGAGAGAGAGAGAGAGACTCATACAACCCCTTCTTACATGTACATAGTTTGTATTTTTTAAATTTATTCTTCGTTTTATTTAAGTTACAGAAGTTAAAATTAATCATTCTATAATTCTATTTATTCTATTTAATCTCTATAACTTTGGTTCATATTCAACCCAATAAAGCTTGGTTGTTAGACTACCATAAACATCTTTGCAAGTAAAATATCCAATTATGAAATATTAAATACAATGACCAAAACTCTCTGTAAAATCAACCCGCTTTTAAATCCTTCATAACTTTTAACGACACTCTTATGTCGAAACCAAATATCCTTGTGAGCTTGAATTAAAGATACCACAGAAGCTGACACTCTGTTTAATATTTGGATATTTTTCTAGAAAAAGACGGGTTGTTTCCTTTTTTCCCGATCATGACAAGAAGCACTCGGCGGGTGTGACCGGTCAGCAGGGGATGCTCACTCCTCCATGGCACCTGATCCCACCTCTCTGGTGTTTCAGATGTCCATGTTTGTTCTGCTCTTGTTTTGTATTGTTTAGTAGACTTTTGAGTTTGAATATTTTACGTTATCTACATATATATCACTTCTAGCAGTTAACTTATGAGTTGAAAAATTTGGTGATCTACAAAACTACAAATGATATAAAACCAATATGATAAAATGTAACTTAGGTTTCTGTGTTGTGTCCATTATCATGATAATTGATATCTGGTATAATAATTTTTTTTCTTGAATTTTTCTTCAGTAAACAAATTACTCATCATTTTAATGGATGACATTACTATATATAAATAATAAAACAATATATTAATCTGAACGATATCTCAAATATGTCTATAAAGAAAGAGTTATACCAATGAAAGATGCACATTAATCTACAATTATTAGTTATATGATTATATTGATTTTATCGTATTCTGAACAGTACAACTAAATATAATACCTTACTAGCATTAACAATACCTTTCTGTAGTTGACAGTTGCTTACTCGTGTCACCACTTCCCTCAGTGGGATTCGAACCCGCAACGTAAGGATCAACTCCTTACTTCGTACTCTAGAACAGTCGCTCTAACCACTGCGCTGTTTGGTATTTAGAAAAACATACAAGTTAAAGTTTTAATCCTGAAATCACATAAGTGACTTTCTTCTTAGAAGATCTGAATCATAAACAGTAGATATCATAATTTAATTCACTGAATATATATCTTATATCAAAAGTTATTTTTTTAATATAAAACTCGCAGTCATTAAAGGAATTGTTAAAAAAAAAATACGAACAAAACTTGCAAAAACAAAAATTGCTTGATTTAATTCAGCACAAATGTAGTATTCATATCCCAGGAAATGTATATTTAATTACTGCCGGTTGAAATGTTAGCTTCATTTGGTAAAATTTCCCGTGATGAGAGGATCACATAAAAATATCAAACACACATGGCATTCTTCTCTTTTCCGTACTCAGAAAGAAATACTATGTAAGTATTTTATATGGAATTTTGTATTTTTTCTATAATTATTCAATCAATGTATCAGTATCTTAGCATATATTTCACAAAGAGTACATTTTCTAAAACACAAATCTATCTTATGTATAAAATTGTATTAACCTTCTTTTTGTTTTAGTGAGAAATGTTTGCAAAATTTGTCAGAGTCTGTGTTTGTCGGACTCTGTAAAATATTGGGAACATCAGAACTAGTGACCATGAGGAGAGATGTTACAAACATCAATGAGATGATAGAGAATGAAGTAAATAAAAAGAAGTTTATCATGATGATCAGTGGAAGTTACGGAGAAGGATTCAGACTATTAGGATCTGATCAAGATTATATGTACTGGCGACCTAATGAGCAAGTGATCTGGGATGAATCTCTGTTTAAGAATTACAACGAACAAAATCAAACATTGATTGTTTCAGACAATTCTGAGAGCCCGCCAGGATTCACTTTGTTATGGCTTCCGAGAAATCATATAAAACATAGATGTATTCTGTCCTCATGTGTAGTGATGAAGAATAAACATTATATATCTAGCTCAAAATATAAACAGACCATGCCTTCATATATTATTAGAAATCCTATCATCCATGGTCCCTGCAAAAGTGGATTTATTAATGGAGTTTATGAATTTGATGAGGCCCACACCTTTCAGAGCAGATACTGGCCTCCATCAGCCTCCTCATGGGTAAGCAGATGTCGGACATGGCCCAAACCTCATGTGGTTCGCGATATTGTCAAAAAAGGATGCCACTTTGTTGCAATAGGACACAGTCTTGGAAATCATGTAGATAATGAATGGAGGATATCTTTCTCTCTGGCAGAAAAACAACTTATTTATTCAATGAACCACTGTCAGTTTTTAATTTATGGTTTACTGAAACTGTTCTTAAAGGATGTAATTAATAATGGCTTAAACAGTGAAGATAAAATACTGTGTTCTTATCATCTGAAGACAGCCGTTTTCTGGGCAATTCAACAAAACAAAATATCTCACTGGAGCCCCCAAAATCTCCTGCAGTGTTTCTGGGTTTGCTTTAAACTTATTCTCAAATGGGTGTATAAAGGGGTATGTCCGAACTTTTTCATTCCAGAAAACAACATGTTTCTATCTAAAGTCAATGGTGATTCACAAACAATTTTATTTCTTAGACTGTATACATTGTATGAGAGAGGCGTTGTGTCATGTCTGTTGCATTGTCCCTCAATCAGGGCGTATGTTTTAAATGTACTTTACAATCCTCGGCTGACCGTCAGTATAGATGAGCACATGATGATCCCTGAGTTTACATTTGATCAGTTATTATTAACAGAGATAGATATGAATTTTTCCATTATAACAAATGCAAACTTACGCACAATAGAAAAATTAATTAACGAACCTTTGACACAATACCAAGTTGCCGCATTACAGGATCATACGATCCGTGTTCTTTTATCCAATGCTTTTATTTTACACAACAAGTACATTGGCAGAGGTGGCAACAACCAGAGGTACATTACGGACAAGATTTCCTGTAACATGCTCAAATTAGCTGCAAGGTTTGGTTGTATTTCTGATGCGTTGTATTTAGCAATGTATTATTACAAGACATCCAGGTACACAGAGGCTTTATCTATCATAGAGATGACTAAGGTCAGATTATCACATGCGATATTTATGCTATTCTTTATATTCGGTGACAGAGATAAGTATGCTCAGGTTGTAGGAGGAAAATCTTGGTCTACAAAGATGAGAGAAGGCATGGCAGGGCAAATTATGCTTTTCAAAGATATCGGTTATATTAATGAATTACTGATAGAACAGTCTGAATCCCTGCATCAAGTATTACAAATTCCACCTTTTGCGTTGATACACATGCTAGAAATTCTGTGCTACATTCATGTTGATTCAACGAGAGTACAAACAGCTTTGAATGACCTTAGGAACAGAATTCAGAATAACATTATTGAAGGTGTACTGTATAGAGACATTTCTTGGCAAATCTTAGGAATTTGTTACTACATGACAGGGAACTTCAATGCTGCTTTTTACGCTTTCCAAAAATCACTCGTACATATTCCACTACAACAGATACAGACTGCTACAATTATCAGAATTATAATATTAATCTATCAATTTTTCTAATAAGTAAAACACAAATAAAACAGGAATCACCGTTATCTGTAAAAAGGTCACGTGGGACAGACTGCTGCTCTATTTATGATCTGACGTAACAACAACAGAGATTTCGCATGGATAAAATGAACAGAGTTCAATAATATTAGGTATGAATTTTACGTTGTTTGTCAAACATTCACAGAATTACAGTAAAAAAAATTTCAATATGTGTGTTGACTTGACTTTTATGATCAACAACTGGAAATAACATTACACAGGCAACTTAGCCACATATGATTCTCATATGAGTATCATATGATTCTCATATGATTGGTTTCATATGAGAATCATAGAAAAAGGGCATCATATGTGAATCATATGAAGCAAATCATATGATTTACATATGATCCACATATGTGAATCATATGAAAATAACTACATATGATTTGCATATGAATGATTTCAGTGTGTTTCAAGCCATTTACATATGAGAATCATATGAAAAGGGCGTCATATGTAAATCATATGAAACACTTATGTGTGTTTCAAGCCATTTACATATGAGAATCATATGAAAAGGACATCATATGTAAATCATATGAAACACTTGTGTGTTCTTTTTCAATATTTTTCACATTCTTGTACACATTTAAAAATCAGATATTTCTGCTTTAGATGAAAATTCATTACATTACAATGATCTATCTTCATTGGTTAAATATTTTAAAATATCTTAAAATGCTTTCACAACTTTTTTGATAAAATTATTTTCATCAAGAGAAATAACTTATTTTTCACAGTGTACATTCTAAACAAGAAAATATACAAACAAGTCAGTAGCATTTGTCGATACATGTATTAAACATATTCTAACATGAGTACAAATTATAAGATTTCAGCAAAATGATTTAGTAGTTAAACATGTATACTGTACATGTACAAATGAATAACATAATTAGTTCATGTATAAAAATACCATATGACATGAAAGTGTCCAAAGCAAAATTGAAATATCAGCAATAACATTTGTCATGTATTCTCTATTTGTAAATTTATGAAAAATCAAGTTATTGATTATTCCAGCATACAATAAGAATATGGGAAATTTTCACAGCTCAAATTCAGACAAGATTGTGTACATCCTCCCCATTTCATAATTATTCCATATATTTCCTTGTTCTTTTTCCTTCTGTATCTTTCAATTTTTTCAGTTGTCCTCCCTTTGATCTTCCATGACAATTTTGAAAATCTCTTTGAACTGTACCATACCAAAAATGAATATCCACCACTTCTCCTCTTCCTGAACAATTTCTTTGTGGCACAGAATAGTCTCTACAAAAATTTCAAAAGTAAAAATAAAATAATTCTTAAATTCTCTGAGTTATAAAAGTTACTTAGGTATAATCAGCAAACAAATGTATGCCCAATTCACTGACACAGATATGATACAAGATAAAACTAATGTTATATATGTTATACTAGGTGTTTTGAGGAATCCTATGATGTAATTTGCAAAACAATTACACTATTGAAAGATATGCTTCATAATAAAATCATAAAAAGCAATTTTTTGTTATTTTGACAATTAAATTTGGATTGTTCAAACAGTATATATTTATTCAGATTGTCAAAAAATTAAGAAGATTCTGATACAAATACATGTATATTATTTTTGGACAAAAAATACTACAGACAAGTAGACAGGCAGAAAAACAGACATTGTGATTCCAAGATATCCCAAACTTTTGGGAAGACTATAACAAAGTTTATTTAACAGTGTGTAGTTACCTTAACTTTAAAGCAAGCCTTGGATCTTGGGATTTGTTCTTTATCTTATGAGAGGCTGACTGTATATTGAACCTGTAAGACAAATACTCACAGTCTCACACAGTAGATATTTTCTAAGAAAACATTTAATTAAAACTTAAACTATTAAAAAGAGAGAGTACAAGTTTGTAGGTTCTCTATAGTCTTAAATATATCTAACATTTAACCCGAAACTATAGGCACGTGCACCATTCACTAGTGTTGGGGGGAAAAAATAATTGTCAGTCAATGAATACATAGATGTAAGTATTCAATGGATTAGCTAGCTGATGTTCTTTCAACACACATGCACATGTATTTATACCGTCACTGTTATAAATTTTTAGTTGAAATTCAAAAATCCAATTTATCCCCCCTCTCCCCAAAAAGTTATTGTATACTATATAGTTTCATAGCCTTTACAGCCAGCAAAATCTATTCATACTTTGCATATTTTAAGTGCACCGGATTAAAATTATAATGTACAGTACTTGGCCATAAGTGAGTCATAATTTTATTTTTCCACTATATATTTCATTGAAAAACGCATTTTTCTAAAATATCGCAGTGTCATTTGTTGTTTCTTTTTAATGTCTAAAACACCATAAAATGCAGAATTTGATGTAGTTTCTGCACATTATTTCAAAATAGTTTTATCTTTATGCATTAGCGTGAAATCACAGGTCAAGTGCAAAACAAAAATTTTAAGACTTCAATTTGTTAAGAAATCATAGTAATTTGATGTTAGAAAATTTTGTCTTGACAATATTTTATAATTTATTCTCAATGGTTTAAGTATCATTTTGTTTATCATTTAAGATAAGAAAATTTGAATAATTCTGCATATACAGGAACCCAACAACTGACCGCCAAAATTGAATTCTGGGTGCTATGTTGTATTGTTGGACAAAGGCTATAAACCAATGAAGAGGGAGCCTGCTGGTCTGAGAAAGCTTTGTTATATTTATTGAAATAATGATGAAGACATTTAACAATTTGTAAGTATACAGAATAAAAAGATAAATTGAATAAATAAATATGTCAATTCTATTTGAATAGCATTTTTTTAATTAATTACAATCTGTTTCTTTTATAATTCCTTTCCATTTACAGACTTTTGGAAGAGGAGTGGGACAAATGAAATTCTAGTTTGCATACACAAATAAATTTTTGTGTTTCTTTCAAGAAAAAGAACTGAGATCAATGGATGATCTATATAAACCCAAGCAATTATGATTACCCAAATTAACATAGTTACAGTGCCAATTGAAGTACTTTTGTGGTTTAAGGAAAGCCCAATAATACTTGATATCGCGATTACTTAACTTAGCGGAACTCTTTCGCGAAGGAGGTAGGAATCGTCTGTTGGGTGGGGGCAATGTGCTTTTCAATACAATGCAAGATCGATCATTGTAGCATTTATAAGGACAGATAAGTAAAAAATCCTGGTGAAATACCTCGCTAAACAATCGCTGAACCAGCCTAATATATTTTTGAGAGGAGCTAATCCTAAATTGTCACATTTTTAACGATATTTTTAATTAAGCGGACTCTTCTCGCTAAATTTTCATTGAAAATCGTCACATTTTTAAGCAGATAAAATATTCTAAACTTTCCTTATTTGACAATCTACTATTTGGAGTTCAATATCTGACAAAACATCGTGATTTCGGCATTAAATTGTTCGAATCATTCGATTGTCACTACTGTAAACAATGTCATTTGCCCCCAGAAATGTAGACTTTTCTCGACTCCCCCGCAAAAGAGCGGTAGTAAGTTAGATAACTGCGAGGTACTCATTGGTAGTCGCGATATAACGTATTGCTGGAATCATTAAGAATTGAAACCATGCAGCTATGCAATGTAGCTTATGGAAGGGAATTACCGCCAAAAGTCTATGTATCTTGCTTTTATTCTTATTCTGCCTACTTCTTTATGTTTTGTTATTATTGTAATTATATGTCACTTTATTGTTTTCGTATTCGTCTTTATTACATTACACTTGAGCTTTTATCTTTCTTTATATTGTCCTTACTTCTATGTTGCTTTATTCTTGTGAATACATTCTACTTTCTTTTAATTTGATATTGTTTTTTAAATAAACTATCTTGATTATCTCGATTACGAACGTAAATTCAATCATGTAAACAATGCCGCCTAGCGTTATAATGCGGCACTAAATTCAATGAAGACGAATGTAAGTTGTCCGAATTTAGTGCCGCATTATAACGCTAGGTGGCAGGGTGTTCGCTATACGAGTGTTGGTAAAAATAGGTAAGCAAACCCGGACCGGGGTTATTAAAGATTTTTCAATTTTCTGCCTTAATACTTTATCAATCGAACGTAAATTTTCAAATGATGTTTGTTATAAGTTAAGGTATGTACCCGATAATGCCATTCCCTCGGAAGATGGTAAGATTTCCCCTGGAAGACTGACTACATAGTGATGCTTCCTTCGGAAGACTATTCAGTGAGACTTCCCCCGGGGAAGTTTCAATATATAGCTAGTCTTCCGTGGGAAATCTAGCTGTATATAGCAATTCGTCCCCCTTCATAGCAACCCCTCCCCCGAATATTTTTTTTAATCGTAAAACAATGTTTATATGCTAACGTTTTCAGTTTTTTAAGAAAATTAAGTTATACGCCCTACATGAATAAATGTTTAAATGTAACCATTTTAATAGTGGTTAATAATTAAACAATTCTAACCATTTAGTTTAACATAGATAATCTTCACGAGTACAAATGGATAATGAATTCCGCCCCCCCCCCCCCGCCCCCACCCCCCGGATGCCCCTGCACTCGGGTGCAATCGCCCGCGTGGCACTGTGGTTACGGCGTGCCGTCTGCTCTAGGGTCACGAAACACAGTAGTAAGGAGTCAATCAATACGTCGTGGGTTCGAATCCCACTATGGGACGTGGAGTTCGGTCCTTCGGATGAGATCTAGAGCGTATTATCCGAGGTCCCGTATCGCAGTAGGTGCTGGCCCGATAAAAGATCCCTCACTGCCCAATGGCTATAAGTGCCGGGTACAAGTCAAAACGGCACCTGGTGAAAACGGCACTTAGGAAATATGCAAAACGGCACTTGAGAGTAGTCAAAACGGCACTTTAGAAAAGTCAAAACGGCACTTTTTTATTTTGAGAATTTGATATTGTTTATACAGAAAATGGATCTTAATATTACATATATAATAATAAAAGTGTATATTATTATTGATAAAAATTTTATTGGAAAAAAATTAAACTGATTCATTTGAAAATTATTGTACTTTTGTACAGTGGTTAGATTTTTTAAATGTATTTCTATCTTAAATTATATATCTATTATTTTCTACTAAAGAGATCAAATCCCAATTATATTATTATACATGATCCTTTGAAATTTGAAAATTTATAGTGTTGCAAATATACTTCTCAGTTTTGGGGGTTGCCAGTCACAGTTGACTAATTAGAAGCCAGTTAGAGTATGTTTACTTAGAATACACTTGTAGGAATAGAAACAAAAGACCATTTCACACCATCCCCTTCAATAATCTGTTGATCGTCAATTTGCAATCATATCAGAGACATATAAATCTCTCTGTCTCTGATCATATACAGCTACTATTGTGTATTTCTCGACAAAATGTCAAACAGATTGTACACAAGTTAGAAAAACTTAGATAATCCTCTCCCAACTGTACATAAATATGAATAGCCATACAACATTTAACAATATAATAAACATGTACATAGAAGAACAAAACATTTGTTTTTTCATAATAAAGATGATACAATGTTGATATTGTTAAAATAATTTCTACAAAATTAGATAGAAATGTGAGATAAAGTGACTCTTACTGAATTTTCTTTTTTTTTTTTTTTTAAATCATTTACACCATTTCTTTTTTCATATTATCAACACCACACTACAAATATAATTATTCTTAATCCCACATATTGTTGTGCTATAGCTTATAAATACTAACTTTAAAAATATATTGAAAATAAAGCAAAATTGAAGCCACAAAAATTCTAAAGTCAATAAATTAAATTTCGAATTAAAAAAGAACTTATGTCAAATATATATCATAACACAGTTCTATACTTTTTCCTCTAAGTGCCGTTTTAACCAAGTGCCGTTTTCACTAAGTGCCGTTTTAACCAAGTGCCGTTTTGCATATTCCAGGTGCCGTTTTCACCAGGTGCCATTTTCACTAGATACCGTTCTAACCATAATTCTAAGTGCCGAGTATATAGGACAAATTTGCAGCTGTCCACCGCCAAGAGGTGGCTTCTCCATTTGAGTTAAAAATTCTCCAATTTAAAGGAACGTTATACAATCATACCCCCAAGTCTCAATATATGTACTGACTTCCGTCTGTACGACCTCCTATGGGGTAAGTTTCACCGATAGAGGGGAGGATGCCACGAAACGTTTTCCTAAACGTAACATACTTTTTACTACTGGAAAAGTTCAGCGAAAGGCTTGTTGCCCCATCCCTTACACTTTTTGTTGCAGTACTAATCACATGCTAATACAATGTAGTCAATTCATATATTAAAGTAGTCATGTACTTAGTGGCATATGTACATATGAGTTATATTTGGTACTGAAAAAAAGTTGACGACCCCCCCCCCCCTCACCACCACCAAATAAAGAATTTTCAAGTTTTAAGATTTTTTTTAACTCTCCTGGCTGATGTATAATACGGTGCGTACTAAAAGATATTTCTTTTCTTTATTAAAAAGTGCTATTTCAGCATAAAATATTAATGCATGAAAAAAGACTGGGGAGTTTCTAGTATGCCTGGGTGTAGCCTGGTTCCAACTTTGCCTACCAATAACACTCCTCACTCCTTTGCAAAGCCCCGTCCCTAGAATCACACGCATGAGCAATTACTATCTGTCGTGAAATAAAGTTCAGTTCAGTGGAACCAGTGACGGATTTAAGGAGGGGGCGCATCCGGCGCCCCCCACCCCCTAAAATTGTCAAAGTTAACATAAATCACAGTTTCGTCTAGAAAATGTAAATATGCCTACTTGGTAGACCTCATTTTTACCCTACAAAATCTCTAGAACCCAGGAGCTTCCGGGTGTTCGCCCCCTGAGCCCCCACCAGGGCTTTGCCCTTGACCTACTGGGGGCCTCAAGGCGGCCTCCAGACCCCTTGCCTTCCTTTGACGCCCCTCTAACTTCAATTCCTAGATCCACGCCTGGGAATGTTCTGAAAAACTACTCAATTTATAAATTTATAAAGGGGCATCTAGTATCAAAATATTTAACATTTTTATGTCAATTAAACTGTTAAACGGGAATTCAATTATCTAACAAATTACTTTAGTAGAGTGATACATGTATTTTTTCAGGAGAGAGAACAGTGACGTAGCATCGTTTTTTGAAAATTCAAGCTATCCGCTGAAAACAACTTGACAACCAAAAAAAAAAAACAAAAAACAAAAAAAAAAAAAAAACCAAGGAAATTGTCCAAACTTGAAAATACATAGGCGTCGATCGGAACCGCAGAGAGAGGGGGGCTTAGCCCCCACTTTTTCCCAAAGTTAGACTTAGTATAGACATTGAACATTACTGCGCCCAAAGTTAGACTTAGTATAGACATTGAACATTACTGCGTAGGTTTAGCCCCCCCCCCCCCCCCCCCCACACACACACACACACACATACACACACACTTTCCATGGATTCGATGCAGCATAGGTTTTAAATGTGGAAAGTGGTGGTGTTTTGAAAAAAAGAAATTGGCACTGAAATTTGAACACCCCCACCCACCACCACCACCACACACACACGATATAGGATTTTTGTGTTTGGACAGTGGACATTTCTCTCTCTCTTTTTTTTTTTTTTGCTATATTTTGCCCTCATATTATGGGGGCGGGTGGGTTTTGGGTTAGATTCAACTTCTTCTATAGTATCAAATTTAAATGTTATCCCTACTTTACTACATTAACCTTATTTGACCCTTACCCTTACAAAAAGTAGGTCGGCCTTTCAATTAGCATTTTCAGTAAAGTACCGGTATATAAAGTTATGTTTTTAAAAAAAGAGGCCGCTATTCCTGTGTGCGCAGAGAAAATAAATATGGAGTTTCCATCATTGGATCGGGTGATCGGATTCGGCCTTCAGATGTTCGATTGATAAAGTATTAATGCAGAAAATTGAAAAATCTTTAATAACCCCGGCCCGGGTTTGCTTACCTAGTTTTACCATCACTCGTAGCGAACACCCCTGCCACCTAGCGTTATAATGCGGCACTAAATTTTGACAACTTGTATTCGTCTTCATTGAATATGCTTCATTCATTGTGTGATTGAATTCACGTTCGTAATTGAGATAATCATTTAAGAAACTGTATCAATTTAAAAGAAAGTAAAATGAATTAACAAGAATAAAGCAACATAGAAGTAAGGGCAAAATGAAGAAGGATAAAAGTCAAAGTGAAATGCAATAAAGACGAATATGAAAACAATAAAGTGATATATAATTACAATAATAACAAAGCATAAAGAAGTAGTCAGAATAAGAATAAAAGCAAGATACATAGACTTTTGGCGGTAATTCCCTTCCATAGTAGCTATATGTACTCCAGTGCTGTATAATCAGGACTTAATGTGGGATGAAGTGGATATTGACCTTCCTGTTTCTTTCGACATATTTTATTGGTGTTGAATCTTAATTGTTGAACATTATATGCTCTGGGATATGTGTTTTCTAAAAAGTCAGTGAGTATAACTTCATGCATAGTTGTTTATGTAAATAAGATACATTTAAAATTACAGATGCATAAAACAGTGTTTGAAAATTTTTAAACATTGATCATAGCAATCTCTGATTGCTTGATTGTGTAGTTATACAATTATACAAAATACAATAAATTAATATGTAACAATCGATCTATTATTGCTTAGTATTTCAAGTTTGCTACCAGAAAATGCCCTTGTGACTCATTAATATTTATGTGGTAAATTAAAGTAAAGTAGATAAGCAGTATATAACAGTTTACTGGAAGTCCACTAGCAGTTAGCAAAAACTGCTTAAGTAACTGCCTATGAACTGCTTAAGTAACTGCCTATGAACTGGTAAGAAACTGCCTATGAACTGGTAAGAAACTGGTAAGGCTAAGAAAACTGCTTATAAATTGCAAAAGGTTTGCAAGCAATTTGTTTAGCCATTAGCAATCTGGGGAAGGTTAAGTAACTGCTCTAGAACTGCTAAAATGTTCAAACTGTTAAGGTTAAGAAACTGCTTAATAACTGCCTTCCACTTTGCCATGGGATGTTTCAGTGAAAAAATCATGAAAATTGAGCTAAAATTGACTTCACGACAAGTTTTTATAAAAATAGGGTTTTCAATGAAATATATAGCCTAAAAATGCAATTTATGACTCACTTATGGCCAGATACTGTAGAATAAAATTTCTAGAGTATTGAGTTGAGTTGAATTTATTTTTGATAAAGCCATGCAAACAATGTAGAATTATAAAAGAACCAAAAAAAATAATAAAGAAATATTTTGTCACAGATACTTTGATTTTTTATTGCAAGTATTTCTTTTTACCTTCAATATTGTGATGATGCAATCGTCTGTCAAATCAGCTTTAGGATCAATCGCCAGTCTTACCAGCTTCGGGCTCTTTGGACTGAAAAAAACAGCACTTTGACACTGAACTCAAGTTGCCGAATGCATCTATAGACCATAAAAACAAACATTTGTCATTAAGTTGAAGAAGGAATCCGGACTTGATAACGATCTCAACATGATAACGCCAACTGACATACAAGGTTTCTACTTTCACTTTCATATCAGTACGTAACAAAACGAAAACAAATTCAAGTTCTAAAAAGTAGTAATGCCTTTAGCCTAACGTGTAATGTTTACATTCATTCAGAAACAAATTTTATCCAAACTTACTTACAGATCACGAACGTGGTTTACGATATGCATGCAAGTATTGAAGTAATAAGAATATTATATAGAAAGTTCATACGCACCATAATGAAATGATATTGAAACAATTTTATATGAATCAAAAGTCTTTTAAATAATATTGTTAGGAAGATCACTTGCCTTTTCCAAACACCCAACACGTCTGCTGCAGCAGTGACGTCAAAAATGACGTATATTTTCATTCGATAAAAGACAAAACCGGCCCGGAGAAAAATACGGAATTATTTTAATTGTACTTAGCCAAACCCAAAAGATTTAAAATGAAAAGCAAATTAATTTATTCTTTATCTATTTTGTCTGGGAAATGCATTAAAACAGAAAAAAATGTGAAAGGTTTTTTTAGAAGGAAGGGGGGGGGGGGGTAGGGTAAACAGAGTAGAACTTTACATATATAATTAATTACTATTAACAAATTCTTTTGAATTAATGTACATTTAAATTCATCTTTTGATATATATTATTGAAATTGCAATTTTACTTCAATATAACAAGGACAGATAAGTGAACACTCATATGTTTCATATGATTCTCATATGATCACCGTTTCATATGATTCTCATAAGATCATAGTCAAAACATTCGTATGAATTTTACCTGAGTATAACAAGGACAAATAAGTGAACATTGTTTCATATGATTCTCATATGATCAGTTTCATATGATTCTCATATGATTATTGTCAGAATATTCATATGATTCTCATATGCAGGATTTTTCATATGAGAATCATATGTATATTACTTCATATGATTTACATATGTGTAATCATATGATTCTCATATGATTAGCCACATATGATTCTCATATGATTGTATATACATATGATTCTCATATGATCCACATATGATCTTCATATGAAAGGCAATGCATATGTGGATCATATGTGGCTAAATTGCCTATGTAAAATATATAAAAAAAAATTATTTGTGTTGTAAAAATCAAACAATTTAAATACTATTTCTTCATATTTTTGACATAGAATACCATTCAAAATGGGTGAATGGTATCATATTCTGCATATCTGATGCTAAGATCTGCAGTTAATTAATGGTAGATGATAAAAGAATTAGAAAGACTGTAACAACAAAATGTTATGAATCCAGCAGACAAAGCTTGTAACAATATAGTCTTTGCTTTAATGAAAAATATTTTGGCTCAATACTTAAAAAAAGAGAGATGTCAATCTAAAAAGAGTACATTGTGTTTCAAAATATTGTATTTGTTGGTTTTAATTTGTGTTTGTTTTTAATTTTATAACCTTAGAACCAATCCATCTGTGGATGCTAAACATAGAAAAAACTTGGAATGGCCTCATGTTGTACATGTATTTTGATACCACTATATTTGTTTTCTCTTCTTTCACTACCATTTATAGATATACTTTGAAACAAGATTATTTAAATTATATAATAAACTTTACAATCTGTAACATTTTATTTGCTACAATAACTGCAGTACAATACTGGGTTTTGATTTGTTTATTGATTAGATGGGAATACTTAAGTATATCTGTCTTCAGTAGGGTACACATGTCCACTGTGTGATTTAGTGTTGTCTGTTTTTGGAATGTCAGTTGTGGAAGAGGCTGTATAAAGTAGGCATGTCTACTGCTTGGAGACAGTTGTCCATTTATGTTTTTGTTTTTGTCAGATTGTGTGTTTCTACTGTTTGGGTGGGGTTGGTGTGGTCCGTTTCTTGTTGTCTTGGTGTTGTTGTGTGTTTCTATTGTTTGGGTGGTGTTGTTTGTGTCTACTATTTGGGTGGGGTTGGTGTGGTCCGTTTCTTACTCTTGGATTTACTGACTGGCGGAGAAGCAGCAGCTTGCGGCTGACGGATTTGGATCTGCTGTAGCTGTTTATACTGAAGCTGCTGTAGTTGTAGCAGATGTTGTTGGGGAACTGCGCCCCCTTGTGGTGTGTTAGGTTTGAACTGAGACAGGGTAGCTAACTGGTGTCCAGAAATGTTCTGTGCTGTCAGCTGCACTGTAATAAGGGAAAGGACAAAAAATGTTACAACATTTACAAGTTCCATCATTTTATATTCATTCTGCTACTAAGACAAGAACTATTCCTCTTAATTAGACATTTAAAAATTGGAAAATGAAGTACACAGCAGAATTTGTTTAATCAGTTCATTAGGCCTCTACCTTACCTGTTGTTGGTAGCGATGACCCTGGTTTACCACCAGACTGAGAGGTCACGACCCCTGGGCCTGACTTCCCTGGCGCCCTCTGTTGGGGGAGACCCACTAACTGTATACCAGGCTGTCCCTGGATCTGCAATATTGGATATTTTATTTAAATGGATGAGTACCTCACCTAAATGCTTTTCAAGATCAGTATCTCCCAAAAAAAATACAAAATGAGGAGCTTGTTCATACCTTGTGAGATTATCTGTGTGTAAGAATTATTTACCTGTGTTTGAGATACTCAGGTAACCTGTCTATGAGGTCTATGAGATGTTTAGTTAACCTTTATTGAGATGTTGTGTTTACCTGAGAGATATTTAGGTTATCTGTGTGTGAGAAGCTGAGATTAGATTTATATTAGATTTACCTGTAGAAGAGGAACAGAGGATGGCTGTCTGATGTTAGATCCAGGCTGAGTCTTTACCCCTCCTTGTACAAAGGGGGCGATTCCTATGATGGGGGATAAGAGTCCTCCTGAACCAGTGATAACAGTACTGGGGGTAGTCACTGACCCTGTAATACACCAAAATATTTCATAAAATACTTAATAATTGTATGCCAAACAGTAAAAAAAAATATGAATATCTTAAAAAAGAAAATCAAGATAATGCATACATTTCTTAGGCAGGGGATGAGATGTATTATACAGAATTGTATAAAAGTTCTAAAATTACATCATCCTTTACTATATGATACATAAATCCTAAAGTATTTTTTTTAGAGATTTGGGGTCGAATTTTACAAAAGACAAAACTGTAATTTTGCAAATAACATTCTTTTAAACATAAGTGTAAAAATTTTTGAAAATCTTTTTAAATAGGATTGAGAAGGATATATCTATGCAGACAATATGTAATAGTATCATTAATTGTGCAATATTCTAAAATCCCCTCAAGTTTTTGTCTCAGTCTTTAGTTCTTTTGATAAACAGGCCCCTTATATGTACATATAAATATGGTAAATCTGAAATCCTATACAATATCCAAATCATTTGGATACTCTAATATTAAAACATCGAAAGATTATCTAATTTTTATTTACCTGACTTGACTGTAGATGATGATTTTTTTACCTGATGTGACTGTAGATGATGATTAATTTACCTGATGTGACCGTAGCTGATGATTTATTTACCTGATATGACTGTAGATGATGGTTTATTTACCTGATGTGACTGTAGATGATGATTTATTTACCTGATGTGACTGTGGCTGATGATGATTTATTTACCTGATGTGACTGTAGTGATGTGACTGTAGCATGTATATTATACAATTATTGCTGTGTTTTGAGGTCAATACAATGATTTAGCCATCTGAGGAGTAAAATATTCACCGAGCCTGGAGGGCGTGAAGAATATTGTAATTCGAAGATGGCTAAATCATTGTTTTGACCAAAAAAAACAGCAATAATTGTTTTATTATATGATTCACTAATAAAATGATCAAACCTATTACTTGTTTGCATTTAATTAAGTCCTATCCAAATACAACTAGAAAACTGACCAGTCAGCAAGGGCCCCGCCATGGGGTAGAATTAAAAGGGTGCAGCTTACGGAATGATTCAAAATGTACGAAGAATAAGCAACAGCAACTGTATTCTTAAAATTTCAAGATAATTCCTGAACATTCAAAAACCTGAAAATAATATCCTTGTACTTACATTAGGCAGTAAAGAATGACTTAACATTGAATGTATATTTAAACAATTATGAAGCTTGTGTTATATAAAATCCAGCCTTCAATGAATGCAAATATCATGAAGGCTTGACCTGAACTTCAAACAAACAGCAGTTGCAGACAAAGGTTTTCATTAATCTTAAAGACAGATAAAGAAAAGCCTACTAAATTTTCTGCAGCAGGCTAGATAATTTAAATCCCAAGGGATTAATTGTACCTGACTCTCATCATTTTCTTTTAAAGTTACAATAAGAACTTTTTCAGTATTAATGATAGAATGGGGTTTTTATACAACTACCTTAAAAATTAATAATATTCTTGAATTAACATAAGTAACAAAAGTAAATCAAAAAATCTTCTTTAATCTATTTCTTGTTTTTAGAATTCAATGAAATCATAACTATTAAACAAAATAAACTAGTGCTAATTGTAACGGGGACCGTTACAGATGTTCCCCAAACGCTCCCCATATCTCTTTTGGTGCCATATTCCATGTAAGCTTCATTAAAAAAAACAAACCCTATATGCATTTGAGACTTTAACAACGTTTACCCAGAAGTGTACCAAGTACATTAAAATTTTAGCATTGCACGCATTCACATGTGAATGCATGTGCATAATGACCATATCATTTTGTCTACACAATCTATATATTTTAATATACTAAACATTAAAGTATTTAATCCAAAAGTATTAGAAAAAATACGCTCATTTAAGAGTATTTTGATTTTACTCATTTTACGTGCACACACGTGCATACATGAGCGGGGTGACCGTACCTTCTTGTAGAAGTCCATTACATCTATCTATGTTCTAAATCCCACCCCGTTCGGTTGAAAACCAAGGGAGTTATAGCTGTTTAAAGTTTCAGCCAATCATATTACAGCGCACGTACCCGCAT